CCATATCGGCCCGACGTGCTGTGAGCCCTAGGGGACCCCTTCCTATGGGGTCCGGATGTGACGAGCGCCGACTTCCGCCTCGGAGGCGTGAGCGACGCCAGGACCTCCGTGTGTGCGAGGCCGGATCTCGGTCGGGCCAGGCCAGGCGTGCAGGTAGGCCCGCCCGTGCGGGAGCACAGAGTGGGGGGACCCCCAGGAGCCAGGTGGCCCATGCCGGCAGCCCCGAGAGACCCCGGGCAGGGACGGCGTCGTCCCGCTGAGCCCCTCCCGCCGGGGCCCAGGACCAAGGACACGGGTCCCCAGAGGGACGGGCCCGGGCCCTCCCTGGAGCGGGCTCCGGGGGCACACGGAGGACTGTGGGGGCCCCTCTTCCCCGCTCAGGTCCAGCCCCTCGGGCCCTGCCGCGGCCAGGCCCTGGGGGCCCCCCGGGGAGGGTGGCCCCAGGTGGCGGCCGTCCGCTGAAAGGCGCCTCGGGGCTGAGAGGGAGCTGAGGACCTTGGTCAGCGGGGAAGGACGCCAGGTCGGGGAGCGGCGGGGGCGCACGGAGCCCCAGGGTGTCCAGGTGGGGACGGGGTGGGGATCGATCGCGGCCAGGACCCAGGGACTCTCGAGCTCAGGCCAGAGGGGACCTCAGCGAGGTCGGGCCCCAGGGTGAGTCCGGGACGGCCGCCGGGCGGGATGGGGACACGCGGCCAGTGCGGCCGGACTGGTGCACCCGGGTCTCCCGAGAGACTCTGGGGTCTTTGGCCGAAGGAGCAGGGCCTCCCTCAAGTGGGCAGAGGGGTGGGCCCAGGTCGTGCTGGGCTTCAGGCTGAGGATGCAGAGGGAGGACTGAGGGTCCCCGGACCCCAGCACAGCGTCAGTCAGGGAAGGTCCGTTGCGGGGGGATGGGAGCACGTGGTGAGTCCGGACTTCCGCATCCGGGTCTCTGAGAGACTGAGGCGAGGGCCTGATGAAAGGAGCAGATGCTCAGGTGGGCAGAGGGGCGGGGCCTGGCGACCGAGTGGCGGGGGCGTGGCGTGGGGAGGCCAGGGATAAACCCTGAGGGAGAACAGAGGGGAGCCCCCTAGAAGCTCACCCATGACGTCAGTCTAGGGAGGCCCCCCCTGGGCGGGATGGGGACACGTGGCCAGTGCGGCCGGACTTCTGCATCTGGGTCTCCCGAGAACCTGGGGTCTTGACGGATTGAAGGTGCAGGGCCTCCCTCAGGGGGCCAGAGGGGTGGGCCCAGATCCTACTGGGCTTCACGCTGAGGATGCAGAGGGAGGACAGAGGGTCCCCGGACCCCAGCACAGCGTCAGTCAGGGAAGGTCCGTGGGGGAGGGGATCGAGCACGTGGTGAGTCCGGACTTCCGCATCCGGGTCTCACAGACACTGGGGGCCTTGGCAGAAGGAGCAGGGCCTCCCTCTGGTGGGCACAGGGGCAGGCTCCGGTCCTGCTGGGCTTCATGGTGAGGTTGCAGAGGGAGGACTGAGGAACCGTCGACCCCAGCACAGTGTCAGTCAGGGAAGGTCCGTTGAGGGGGAGGGGGGTCATCGAGCACGTGGTGAGTCCGGACTTCCGCATCCGGGTCTCAGAGACCCTGGGGGCCTTGGCAGAAGGAGCAGGGCCTCCCTCAAGTGGGCAGAGGGGTGGGCCCAGGTCCTGCTGGGCTTCATGGTGAGGATGCAGAGGGAAAACAGAGGGTCCCCGGACCCCAGCACAGCGTCAGTCAGGGAAGGTCCGTTGGGGGGGGGATGGGAGCACGTGGTGAGTCCGGACTTCCACATCCGGGTCTCACAGACACTAGGGGCCTTGGCGGAAGAAGCAGGGCCTCCCTCTGGTGGGCACAGGGGCAGGCTCCGGTCCTGCTGGGCTTCATGGTGAGGTTGCAGAGGGAGGACTGAGGAACCGTCGACCCCAGCACAGTGTCAGTCAGGGAAGGTCCGTTGAGGGGGAGGGGGGTCATCGAGCACGTGGTGAGTCCGGACTTCCGCATCCGGGTCTCAGAGACTCTGGGGGCCTTGGCAGGAGGAGCAGGGCCTCCCTCAGGTGGGCAGAGGGGAGGCCCCAGGCAATAACCCGAGTCAAGGTATGAACTCTGAGGGAGGACAGAGGAGACCTCACAGAGGTTGGGCCATAGTGTCTGTCCAGGAAGATCTCTGGGGGGCATGGGGATGCGCAGCGAGTCCCGACTTCAGGTTCTGGGTCTCAGAGAGTCAGGAGGTCTGGTGTAAGGAGCAGGGTCTCTAGTTGGCAGGCGCGGAGGGGAGGGGGGAGGAGCGCCCAGGTTCTGTCAGGAGTCAAGGTGAGAACCAGAGGGAGGACTGAGGGACCCTGGACCCAGAAGGGAATCAGTCCTGGGAGGCCCCAGGGTGGGACAACGATGACATGAGGCATGTCCTGACTTCTGCTCTGGGTCCCAGAGACCCTGAGGGCTTGTTGTAAGGAGTGGCCCTCAGGAGCAGGGATGAGGGCACAGGCCATCCAGGGAGTCCAGATGGGGAACAGAGGATAGGGCTAAGGGACCCGAAGGAACCCCTCTCAGGGAATCCCTGGACTTTGTAGCGTGACGTGACGTCCACAGTCATTTCCCGTGGCTCTCAGGGCAGTGAGGCTTTGGTCTGAGGCAACAGGCCCAGGGACAGCAGAGAGAGGATCACCAGATGTGCCGCGGCTCATGTTGAGATCCCTGAGGGAGGACTCAGGGAGGTGGCTGGACTCCAGAACAGGGACAACGCACTGAAGCCTGCCCCTGCTGTCAGCCCTGGGAGGCCTGTTTGTGCCAGGTCCACAGGCAGTGTGTCAGGACGTCCGCATCCAGTTCTGACAGAGGCTGGGGGCCTGGTTTAAAAAACGGGAGTCAGGAGCTAATGGGACTGGATGTGAGGACCCGGCGGGAGCACATGAGGGACCCTGGACCCCAGAACAGTCAGTCCTGGGAGGCCCCTGAGCGGGAGGAGGACGAGTGGCGCGTGGAGACATCCACATCCGGGTCTCAGAGAGGCTGGGGGTCGGGGTAAGAGGCGGATCCTCAGGTCAGCAGTAGGGAGGGCCCAGATCCTGCTGGAATCCAGGTGAGAACACTCAGGGAGAACTGAGGGGACCCTGGACCCCAGAACAGAGTCATCGATGGGAGGCCCTTGAGCAGCTGTCCGCCTGAGTCGCACCCCCGAATTTGGCCTTGGATCTCAGGGATGTGCGGGGCGGTCAGAGGGGAAAGGACTCGGGGGACAGCAGAGGGCAGGGCCCCAGGTCTTGTTGGAGTCCAGGAGGGATGCAGGCTGAGAGTTGAGGACTTTAGAGCCTGAAACAGACAATGATTTTGTTGCCCTTGGGCTCCTTCCATGTCCCCCAAGGTGGGGGGAGCAGCTGAAGTGTTTCCTGACTTCTGCACCCAGGGTCTGAAGGAGGTGAGCCTTGGTCTGAGGAGTGTGGCCTCAGGTCAGCAGAGGGTGGAGTCCCAAGACCCTGAGGGAGGACTGAGGAGACACCCACCCAGACATAGGTGTCCCAGATGAAGTCCAGCCCCGGTGGTCAGTCCTGCGAGGCCAGGCCAGGTGTCAAGAAAAGTAAGCGCCCCACTTTCTCCTCTGGGTCTCGCAAAGATGGTGGCCTTGGCCTGCAGGATGCATCCTGTGGTTAGACGAAGGAAGAGTTCCAGGTCCTGCCAAAAGTAAACATGAGCACCTTGAGAAAAAAGAGTGGACTCCCGCCCCAGGACAGAGGGGCCAACCCCATTCTAAGCTCTTCGCGAATTGGGAGGGATGCGGGGGGAGGGTTTGGATTGTTGTCTCCTCACCCTCCTCTCGGAGCTCTCAGGGTGGTGAGGACCATGCTGGGAGAGGTCAGGGTCAGGTCATCTGAGGAAGCCCACCTGGGAGACACACAGGAATCCCTGCTCCTGCCAAGAGTCAATGTGGGAACCCCTAAGGGAGGAGTGAGTGGCTCCCAACCCACCCCTCAGGATAGGGAGGGGATGGCACAGAAATCTGGACAGCCCCTACCAGGCAGCCCTGGAAACGCTGGCTGGGGCCTGTCAGGCTGAGCCCCTCCTCCTTTCCAGATCCCTGGTCTCAGGGAAGGAAGGGTCTGGGCCTGAAGGTCTGGACTCAGGTAGCAGAGAAGGCAGGTGCCCTGGCTCTGGCTCTGGCCCTGGCAGGGGGGAAGGTGAGAAATGAGGGGATGTCTCCCACAGCAGGATCCTCAGGGCCCAGGCCTACCCTGCCGCTTCTGTCGGCCACGGGGAGACAGACAATCGGTGAGCCAAGTTATTTCTCCTGGCTTTTCCTTCTGATGTCTCCCAGACATGAGGCATCGGCACCAGGAGAGTGGCCTCAGGTTAACACAGGGAGTTTTCCCAGGCCTTCCGTGGGGTCAAGGTATAGACGGAGAGGTGCGCCCATCCCGGCACAGATGGAACCCCGAGCTTGGCCATCCCTGGGGTTCCGTGCTGAGCCCTTAGACCTTTGTCAGGCGTGGGCAGATGTGGGCCCCCTCGCTTACCTTCTGTGGAGTCTCAGGGCTGCGTGGTCTTGCTGTGACCCTTTGACCTGAGGCTGTGGGGGTGGGGACCAGGCCCTGCCAGGGGAAAGAGCAGTCCCCTGAGAGGCCAAGGAGGGGACCGCCCAGCTTGGACTGGTGGGGACCTCACAGAGTCCGCCCCAGCCCTCCTGCCCCACTGGGGCCCGTGTGCCGTGCTCTGTGCCTGCACCCTGAAGTGACCCCTCCTTTTGTCCTCCCGGGGCTTCAGGAAGTCAGAGTTGAGGCCTAGGTCTGAGGCAGGAGGCTCTAAGGTCCCAGAGCAGGGGAGGTGCAGGGGAGTGCCGGTGATCAAGGTGAGGTACTTGCTCTGAGCATGGAGCCAGGGGCTCGCCCATCCCAGCCCAGAGGGGACCCCTGAGCACCCAAGCCAGACGCAGCGCACTGTCAGCTCCGGGACTTCAGGCCTCTGCTGCCTGGGCTGCACCCTGAGGAGCCATCCCACATCTTTCTTCAGGTTCAGCCCGACACAAACGCCATGCCCCTGGGTCAGAGGAGTGAGCTCTGGAAGGTGGAGGAAGACCCAGGCCCAGCCCAGGGCCTGATGGAGGCACAGCTGTCCGGGGCTGGGGAGGAGGAGGCCCCATCTCCTCCCTCCTCCTCCTCCTCCTCCTTCTCCTCCTCCTCCCCCTCCCCTTTCTCCCCCTCCACTTTCTCCACTTCCTCCTCCTCCTCCCCTTCCTCCTCCTGCTCTGTCCTGTTCCTAATCCCCCTGGGGGAGGGGTCTGCTGCTGAGTCCCTGAGTCCTCCCCAGAGCCCTCAGAGTGCCTGCCCCTCCCCCACTGCCCAGGCAGCCACGGCCTGGAGCCAGCCTGACCAGGGCTCCAGCAACCTAGATGAGGAGGGTTCGAGCACCTGGGAGGAGCTGGAAGTCACCCAACCCTCTCTCCAGGACAAACTCCACGTGAAAGTGGCTGACCTGGTAGTGTTCCTGCTCCTCAAATACCGCAAAAAGCAGCCGACCCACCAGGCAGAGATGCTGGAGATCGTCAGCAAAGATTACCGGGACGACTTCCCAGTGATCTTGGGCCAAGCCTCCGAGTGCATGAGGCTGGTCTTTGGCGTGGACGTGAAGGAAGTGGACCCCAGCGACCACTCCTACATCCTGGTCACCGTCCTGGGTCTCACCTGTGATGGGATGCTGAGCGGTGAGCATGGCATGCCCAAGACCAGCCTCCTGGTGCTGCTACTGGGGGTGATCCTCCTGGAGGACGACTGTGCCCCTGAGGGGGAGGTGTGGGAAGCGCTGGGGGTCATGGGGGTGTATGCCGGCCAGGAGCACATCATCTATGGGGAGCCCAGGGAGCTCCTCACCAAAGTCTGGGTGCAGGAAGGGTACGTGGAGTACCGGCAGGTGCCCGGCAGCGACCCTGCCCGCTACGAGTTCCTGTGGGGTCCCAGGGCCCACGCCGAAACCAGCAAGTTGCAAGTGCTGGAGTATTTGCTCCGGGTCAATTACAGGCAGCCCAGTTCCTCCCTGATCCTGTCTGAAGGAGCTGTGAGCGATGAGGAAGAGGGGGCCTGAGTCCCAGTGGCGGCCAGGCCCTTTCCAGGCTTTGGTAGGGTCAGCAGCTTCTCCTGCGGGGTGCTGGGCATGAAGTGAGGCCACATTTTGGTTCTTCCCTGTGTGTGTGAAGAGAGAGCCCCGGGAGTTCTAAGTAGGGCAGGGCCAGGGAGGGTTGGGAGAAGAAAGCAGGGTGAAGAGCCAGCCTCTCTGGGGGCCTGTTCTCTGCGATGACTCCGACATCCAGAGCTTGGTTTTCTTGAGGAAGCTCTCAAATGTTGTTCCTTGGAATAGGAGATTTAACCAGCTTCGGCAGCTAAGTGTGTGCGTGACATCCACCCCACAGCATTTGTACTTACCCAGTTCAAGAGTTTTAAGAGTTTTGTCATGTTCTGGAAATAAGGTGGGAGATCTTCCCTCCTTGTTTGGGTTCTGGAATGAAATCACAGGGCATTGGCATAGGAATTTGTTGGAAAGGCGAAAGAATGGAGCAGTCAAGTGATGGGGTCAGGAAATAGGGAAATAAAAGATTGTTCATTTTTGCTTCTTACTCCTTCTCGTCTGTCATTCTGCAAAAGTAACATAGATGCGTGCTCCCTCATTCGCTTGGTTCTTCAAGAAAGGAGGAGAAACGACATCTCAGCACAGAGGGAGCCCTGCTCACTGGCTCCTTGATTCCCAGATGTGGGCTGAGCTCTGCTCTCTGGAAGGCCCTGTGCGTGAGCAGTGAGGACACTAGGAGAGGCAGGACACGTCCCACCCTTAGGTGACTGTCTAGCAGCTGCACTCATGGCAGGAAAATGGGGAGAGGTGCCCTGAAACCTGCAGAAGAAATGGAAGAAGAGTGAGGGAGTGCGGCTCCCGGGGCGAGTACTGCAGTGGAAGTGCCCCTGGCCTGGGTGGCTCAGGGTGTCGGGTCACCGTGATTCCTTCTGTGCAGCTGATCACCGTGAACCTGGGGGGTGACGGTGGCCCTACTCGGAGACAGGGTGCCTTAGAGGTGGGAGCAAAGTCTGAAATGGATGATTGCTCTGAGAAGTTCCTTCTGGATCATGGACAAACCAGAGAGAAATCTCCTCCTGGGGTAGGAAAAGAAGGTATCCTGCACTCTCATCCCAATGCAGTTGAACACAGTGCACAGACTAGGTGTTTTATATCCATCATCTGCAAGTATTTCTGGAGAAGTACAGTGATAGTCCTTTGAAGTGGAGCCCAGAAGACTCTAGACTGACACTCTTGTCCTGACCATGCAAAGCCAGAACCCTGACTGCATTGAAAAGTCATTTTAGTTTGATTATCTGGAGTGTAATTTGGACAGCTATAAGTAAACAAGGTCTAGGTTTTGGTGGGGGGAGAAATGAGTGAAAGGAGTGGTTTGGTGGAAGAGCAGCTGGGAGGGAGGGTAGGAGCTGGTCTTTGACTCACATTCTAGGAGCTTTGTATTGTGTCCAGCTGGGACAAATCCCTCACGCCTGAATTCCACACATATTCTCATATATCTCACATATATCCTCTGATTTAGAAAATGGGTTGAGTTTTACTTATGAAGCGCCCTCTTTGGCTGATTAGCTATTCCATGTCCTATTGAGCTGCACATTCTCTAACATGACCTGGGTAACAAAAAATACCCCAGAGGAGAGAGTGGAAGGCTCTGGGATCAAAACAACATTTGAAATCACTGCCATTCATCAAAGTTCCAATACATGCCAGGCACTGTGCAAGGTGCTTTCCATATATCACATGCATTCCTGCAGTCCTGCAAGATGGGGCTTATCAAACTCACTCACTTCAGAAAGAAGCTGAGGCTCCTAGGACTTGGTCATTTTCCCAGGATCACATGGCTAGTGAGTGACAGGGCAGAGACTAGAACCCGGGTCTGAATTCATGTAAAGTCCACGCTGTTCCCACCCACTGCAGCCTGTGGCCAACCTTCTGCGTCCTACATCATTCCTGAGGACAGCACGGTGTCTTCCAGGTGACAAAAAGAAGGATGCTGTGGCTAAGGTACTAAAACCTGTTGCTAAGGAAGGAAGGTGACAATGAGAATCAAACAGGTTTTGGGTACTGTCTGTGGGCTTTATTAACCTAGAGTTCTTCTGCCTGAGCCTCAGAGTTCTTTGAGAACTGACTGCCCAGGCACTGGCATTTTTTCCAGACCTAGCACTTTCCCAAATTACAGCAGCCTTTCCCTGATATTCCCCTGTGTACTCTTCTGTCTAACTCTTGAACCTGGCCTGCTAACGAGCTCATCACTGGTCCCCATGGAACAGCTAGGAATCACCTTCTCTCCCCCAACATAGAACCTTACTCTCTGTAGTAATCCTCTGGTCATTAAATGAAGAAAGTGAATCCTCCTTGCTGAGATTACAGAATCGTTTGAAAATTAGATGTCAGCCTGTATTTGAAAGTATCTGTCACACAGGAGATGCTTGAAAAGTTCAGAGAACTCCAAGGCAAACTGACCTCAAAAACTCCTCCCCTGGAGTGCCTGGGTGGCTCAGTTGGTTAAGTGTCTGCCTTTGGCTCAGGTCATGATCCCAGGGTCCTGGGCTCGAGTCCCACATCAGGCTCCCTGCTCAGTGGGGAGCCTGCTTCTCCCTCTGCCGCTGCTCCCCCTGCTTGTGCAATCTCTTTCTCTCTCTCTCACTGACAATTAAATAAATAAAATCTTAAAAAAAAAGAAACTCCTCCCAGCAATAAAGTCAGTCATCATAACAAATTATAATAGTTGCATTTGGTTAAGCCCCTACTGTGTAACAATACATGGGAGAAACTTTAGTGTTCATCCATAGTGCATCTTGCTTTCCTTCCAGGATACAGGGGACACCACCTTGCCAGTCCCCTTTAGTTAGGGAGGGTTGTGTGATGACCCTTTGCCATGGAGATGTGAGCAGAAGCATTGTTTCTCACATCCAGGCATTTGCGAGCCAGTATGTCCGTTCCATGCTGTCTCCCTTGATTCACCAGCAAACATGGTGACCCCGTGTTGAGATAGGGGAGCCACAAGATGAAAGCAACCTGGACCCAGGGTCTAGGAAAAGCAGGGGGCCCCTGCCAAACCGTATCAGAATTTGTGTGCACAAAAATGCACTTCTGTTGTGTTAGCCCTTCAAATGTCAAAGTTTGTTGCATCAGTTAGCAGTTACTTTCATGCAGCCACTTTTTTTGCTGTTAGGCTTATCTAGAAATTTTACTTAAGAAGGTAGTAGTACACATCTTCCTATTGCAAAAAACTTCTAAAAATACAGATGAGTCATAATATCCCCTTTTCAAAGTTCCTCCACAATTCAGCCTCCTCCTCAGAAGTCATCATGGCTAACAATCTAGTGTGTGTTATTTTTATTTTTTTAATTGAAAACATTTTTTTTCTTTGAGAGAGAGAGTGTGTGAGTGGAAGGAGGGGCAAAGGGAGAGAGAGAGAGAGAGACACTCTCAAGCAGGCTCCATGCTCAGCACAGAGCCCGACTCGGAGCTCGGTCTCAGGACCCTGAGATCATGACTTGAACCAAAATCAAGAGTCAGACGCTTAACCAGCTGAGCCACCCAGGCGCCCCTAGTGTGTGTTATTCAAAAGGTGACTATGGCTTTTTCATAGATATGCTCTACGAATATATTGTTTTTATTCAACCTAACCCGTAATACTGTGCATATTGATCTGCCACTAGCTTTTGTCACTTAATAAAATGGGTGCAGGATCTTCCCATGACAGCACATATAGATCTACCTCACTTTTGAAACTATTCCCTGGAATGTTAAAGTTTGTATATACCATAATTAATCACATAAAGAGTTTTTTCCGGGTGGAAACAAGTTGTTTTCCCTTTATCGTATGATTAATAAAATGAAAACAACATCTTTGAATATGAATCCTTGGGTAGATATGAATGTTTTCTAGTAAGATATACATACTAACATAGACATTGGGTTAGAGTGGAGAGGGTGTGAATTGTTTAACATTTCATAAATGCGTCTGAAATTTTATTCCACAAGTGCTATACCAGTTTGCATTCTCATAAAAATTGGAAATGATTTAAGATTCTGCAATATCAACAATTTCAACAAGACATTTCCCCCTCTACTTTGACAAAGATAGATTTGGCCAGAATGACCAGCAGCTAGGGGAGGACACCAGCCAGGACACCCTCCGCTAGTGAGGGGCACTGAGAGCATCCTGGGAAAAGTGATGGCCAGAGTCCATGAGAGAAAATGAGTACAAAACCAAGTCCAGAGAGCCCCAGGCAGGGTGGCAGTCAGGGCTCTGAATCTAGAGTTCAGCTTAGGGGGAAAGGGACCAAAAGGAGAGAAGGTGGAGAGGCGGAGGGATTCAGGAGAAAGAACGTGGGTGGGCTGGGGAAGTCTCTGAATCATTATCACCAGCTGGAAGTTGTGGGGTGGTCTGACAGGGCAGGTCTGTTGGATGAATGGATCAGCAGCATGCCAGACACCCCACTACTGTAGAGTCCCCCTACCTCTGTCAGGAAGAGTACACTTGGCTCCCTGCCCCTGAATTCAGGTGAGCGACATCTCTTGACTACTCTAGCGGTCCAGGGCATCCTTGCCCGTGTCCCAGGGCTGGGAGCTGTCATGATGCCTGCTGGAGGCAGGGGGCTTTCCCCCTGGGTGCAGTGGAACCCCACATAGAGGGTGAGGCTATGTGAGTGAGGGGTTGGTGACCGAGGAAGGACAGCTGAGATAGGCCAGGAATACCCAGGAGCAGTGGAAGGGAGCGTGTGGCTAGCTGCTGGGAGGGTGAAATTGGAAGGAGAAAGCCCTGGGGCCAATCACCTCAGACTCTGCAGATAAAGGGCTGGGCATGAACATGCTTGAAAGCTGTCCAAATGGTGTCCACGGCTCAGACTGCCTTCCAGGGCTCCTGAGGTCATGGCATAGCAGGGGCAAGTGTCCTGTCCTGTGGCTATGATGGCTGGCCTGTGTTGCCACCAGTTTGCAGGGTGGGTGGAAAACCTGTGGAGATGGCTTGTTCTTATTCAACTGATGAGAAAGTGTGGGCTCCAGTGCAG